CAAGGTGGGAACAGATCACTGTGGATGGGTTCTCACCCATGTGCACAATTGCAAGATTACAACTGCACTCAGGCTGAGGGCCCAATAACAAACAGGTTTATTTAACAAACAGGAGATTGAGAAAAAGGAAAGAGCTTCTTAGACCACAAATGACTGTCTGATCCCAGTTAGTGTCTGTAGTGCCCAGAAGTCCCAAACAAAAGCCACTCATGGAAGATGAGGTGACATTGCAGCAAGCCACAGCAGCAGTCTGAAGGCTGGGCCAGATGCTGGGCCAGAAAGAGATGGACTCAACAGCACTGGGAGGCCGTGCTGGAGAACCAGATGCTCTGGTCAGCTCTTAGAGACCGCGGGCTAAGATGCTCCTTAAAGGTTATGTCAGAGGCAGGGCTGGAGGAGCTGCAGTGGTCTGGAGGTTGTCTAAGAAGTCTTATGGAGGCCTGTGAAGGTTTATGGATCCTATGGAGGTTGACTACTCCATGCTGCTCTCTCTTCAGAGGCTGGGGGCAGAACCCTTCTCTGAAGATCAGGAACAGTATGAATCAAGCTGGTTTTTGCTCTGCCTTATATATCCTTTAGGGTGCCCCACTCTACAAGTCCGATTGGACCATTTTCAATCCTAAGCATCTGATTGGACTGTTTAGCACCAATCAGCCCATTTTCCAGCCCCCAAATTAACTAATTAAGTGAGCTTGAACCTAATTGGTCCATTGAACTCACACCTGACTGGTCCATTGAGATAGGATCTGATCGGTCCATTTAGGATCTTAGAGTCAGATATAAAAGGGGAAAGCCCAGCTTGGCTTCCACTCAGGTCAGGGCAGGCTGTGAGCCTATTGGGGTCATCCACCGGTATGCATGCTTGTGCCGCAACAAAGCCACTTTGCCTAGTGGCCTCTGTGGCTAGGGAATCTGGTTACATTACTGTTAGGGGTAAATGCTGCCTCTACAACAGCTGCCTGCAAAACAAACACTGAGTGCTATTTTTGCTTTTTGCCTTTTGTCATGAAAGCAAAAATCCTTCTTGGATGTTTGTGGTTGTTGTTGAAAACAGGTACTAACATAGGTCCTTCCTAAAAGTGAAGTGACATAACCCAAACTTATAAAGAGTGGAGGATACCTATACTTGTAATAGAAAAAGTCCTAACCTGCACACTAGGTGATAAAGAGTGAATTGATTTCCTTGTCCATGTGCCATGAATTGAGTAGTCCATGTGGTCCAGTAAGAGTTGCTTTCCAAGATCTACAAAGTGAGTAGCAGACCTGGTTGATGAACCACCACAACAAAAAGTCCAGTGGAGCCTCTTAGCAAGCAACTCTTAATCATTAAATCTGCTAGGCAGGAATTGATATTTTTCAAAGTACCCATATCAGTTACCTTTTGCAGCACCCCAAAACTTAGTGGCTTAATATAATCATATTTTTGCTCAAAATTCTCAATAAACTATTGAATTAGTACTTCTGTTGGTTTTGCATGGGTGCTGTCATCTGCAAGTCAGCTCTGAGTTGGATGGCCTCTCTCATTTGCTCAAAATTCTCAATAAACTGTTGAATTAGTTCTTCTGTTGGTTTTGCATGGATGCTGTCATCTGGCAAGTCAGCTCTGAAATCGATGGCCTCTCTCGCATATGTCTGTTGTTGACTGAGTCTCCATTAACCTAGTTAGATTTATCCACACAGTGCCAGCACCCAAAAACATCCATGAAGGAGAAGCTATAAGGGATCCTGAAACCCAAGATAGCAATCATGCAAGACTAATTTCATCACATTCTATTGTTCAAAGCAAGTCGCAAAGATAGTCAGATTCTGGATCTGGGAAAATAGTCTCTACTGCTTTCTGGGAGCAGCACCTGCATTAAAAGTGTGCCCATAGTATCCAACTTTAAAGTATACTGAATAAAGGACCTTGCAGAAGGTGTACTGTTGAAGAACTATGGGAGCAGGGTGCAGAATGAGGATCATCATTTTGAGCCCAAGACTCTCAATATATAACAGGGGAAGCCTGAACTAGCAGGGAGAAGTCAGCTTACCTCTGTCTGCTCATAGAAGGCTACTACTTGAAGCTAAGGCTGGGATACTCAAACACCTGGCAAACCCCTTTCCCGCCACAACTCTGGACTAAATCGAGAGCACAACTGAACATGCATAAACCAGAGTTTAAGGAATTGTTAACAACATGAACAAACACCCTAGGATAAGGCTCTGCTGGAAAAGAAAAAACTCTCAGCCTCTGACCTTGTAACAATTACAATCTGTGTCCAGTGCCACATCTAATGCTAAAAAATAACCTGGAGGTTGAAACTGATATGACACTATACAAATATTGCTTAGGCCAAGGTGCTGGAGCCAAATGGATCCCTACCGCAACACAGCTCTGGCACCCACAGCAAGTAGGAAGCTTGATCCCTAGTGCTCACTAGAGAGGATCCTCTGGTGCTCTACTGCCTGAAACAGTCTGAAAGCCTACCCCAATTACAACAATAAACGCTAAAAATGTAGAACATTTCCAAACACTGGAGCAAAAAACCCTGAGGAGTCTCAATCCAGCAGAATTACAGAATATGGCTGAAGAGGAGTTCAAGACAACAGTTATAACAATGCTTATGGAACTCAAAAAAAAAAAAAAGGATATAAAACAGGGACACATAAAGGCTGAGAAAATATGAGGCAGTTACAATGAGAAGTAACAAAGCAAAGAAATAAAATGGAATTAAAAAAAAAACAATACAACAGCAAACAAACACAAGAATGGAGAGAATTAATGAGCACAAAAGCACAATGACAGAGCATACAAACAGTAAAAATAAAGAGAAAAAAGGACAACCTACATGACTGTCAGCAGACTTTTCAGAAAAAACAATTACGAGCATGATGGGATTGGCAGGAAATACTCAAAGTGCTTAAAGAAAAAGATTTGTAGGAAAAAAAAAAAAGATTTTCAGCCTGGAATCCTTTACCCTGCAATATTAACAAGAGAGAAGGAAGAGTAAGGAGCTTCCCTGCAAAGCAAAATCTGTAAGAATTTATAAACATAAACCACACATTAAAGAAGTCTTAAAGGGGTTATTGTAAAGCAACAAAATAACAGGTATAGAGGTAACAGACATCTAAATCATATAACATGTAAGAGGAGGAGCAGAGTAACGATGTGGCCCAATAGAATGAATTGGAGACCAGGATAACGGATGGGTCACATCAACAGTTCATCATATGCCAACCTCAGCAGAACCTTCAAACAAAATTAATGTAAGTAACATATAAGACAAAGGAAAGGTAATCTTAAAAAAATATAAAAAGGAGACCTCCAAAAATAAAAGACACAAAACTACAATGAGATACCATCTTACACCAGTGAGAATGGCACATCTTAAAAAAACTAGCAACAACAAATGTTGGTGAGGATGTGAAGAAAAAAGGAACTCTCCTGCACTGCTGGTGCAAGTGCAAACTGGTCCAACCACTATGGAGAGCTGTGTGGCGATTCCGCAACCTGTTACAGGGCAGCCCCAATATAAAACAGGTTGCCTGACTGTGGGTCCTCACCCATGCACTTAAAAGGGACTTAATACTCCACTGCAGGCACACACAAAAGGTTAATGAAAGATTTATTCACAAGGGAAGGGGAAATGAGGAAATGTACAACTCAGGGGAATCCCAAATGGCACTGTGAGAGCTGACCGTGAGCCAGGAGAGAGGAGGGAAAGAGAGAGAGAGAGAGAGAGAGAGAGAGAGAGAGAGAGAGAGAGAGAGAGAGAGAGAAGAGAGGAGAGAGAGAGAGAGAGAGAGAGAGAGAGAGAGAGAGAGAGGAGAGAGAGAGAGAGAGAGAGAGAGAGAGAGAGAGGGAGAGCGCCCAAGGCCCACATGTCTGGCTGCTTACCAAACCTGGCTCCTTAACTCCACCCTCAGATCCCAGCAACCTTCCCTTTGGTGGTGATGGGATTTGTAGTTCCCAATGTCCTGATGGCTTTGGTCTGGAGTGGGGGTGGGGTCCACAAAGCCTGTATGGAATTAGCTCAGGACATCCTTTCCCCTGAACAAACCTACTAAAGATAGAGCTTCCTTATGATCCAGCAATTCCACTCCTAGGTATTTACCCAAAGGACACAGAAACAATAATTCCAAAGGGCACCTGCACCCCTATGTTTATAGCAGCACTATTTTTTTCTTATATTGAGTACGTATTAGAACTAGCTTCAAAGGATACATGTGTAACAGGGTGGACCCAACTTTTTTTTTTTTTAAGATTTTATTTTTATTTATTTATCTATACAAGCACTGGGTACGGTCAGAGGCACGGGAGGGTGAGAGAACTCACCAGAGCCAGAGCGGGGAGCAGAGCAGGCAGAAGGACCGAAGTACACCGCTGAGGGGAGCAGCGGTCGGCAGGAGAGGTCTGCGCGCCATGTGGGACCCTCCTCTGGTGGCCGGAGAGCAGCTGGGGATCGAACCGGTGCTGCAGAGGCCGGTGCTGCAGAGGCCGTCGCAACCCAGCGCTCAACCGCTGCGCCACCGGGGAGGCCCGGTGGACCCAACTTTTATCTTAATTTTGATTTTGCTCTTTTCCTCCCATTATTTCTGACCCTTTTCTATGGGGACCACCCTGTGCAGATGGACATCTTATGTGATCGCTGGCTCATCCATGCTAAGTAAACCTGGCTGTAGTTGTGTGGAGAAAGATAACCGCCAGTTTGAACTACTCTGGAGTGGGGCCTCGGAGGAGAGAGCAAGTGAACTGTGTAAGAGCTGCTGCGCAGTTGCAGGCAGCAGCTCAGCAGCAGCTCAGCAGCAGCGTGAATGTTCCTGCTAGAACATTCCCTCAAGGAGCTTTAACCCAGACACATCGTTATGAAATAGGGAGGGGGTGAGGGGAGCTCCATAAACAAGTCGAAAAGTACTTGAGTCACTAAGATCAGAGATTTATGAAGCTCCAGCACCCTCAAAGAAGCCTTCCTTCCTTGACCATGAGCTGGAGATAAATAAAGGACATCTGTTTTTCCTACCTCAGGGGCAGAAATGCTTCAGGTCGCTTTATATCACAGAGAGATGCCTGACGCGCAGACAGGTCTCTCAAAGCAGTGATTCTGAATGAGGCCAGAACACTTGTACAGTCAGGTCCCAAGTGGATGTGTAGGGTATAAAGTGGCCGAGGTGTCCACATAAGCAATAAGAACAGGGATTACTTAACGTGGAAGCCACCTGAGCAACAATCGAGTCCCTACCTCTTGTTGCCATGACATTTTCTTTAAACAAAAGCTTAAGTGCACCTCTAGATGGAAGCAGTGCTCTGGTTGGAGGGGAAAGGGAGGGGGGGGCGAAGTGAAGTTTATTCATAAAATTAAAAAAAAAAATCACGAAGAAAACTGTTGTTTAACTTATATCACAGAAAGGGTAAAGCACCTGGTTAAAAAGAATAAGGTTCCCCAAACCGACACATTCTTAATTTATAAAATGATCAAATTTATAAATTTGGATCTTTAAGGGCATTTTTACGAGGAGGCCTGAGAACAGGGAATGACTTAGTCACACGGAAATGAGCCTGGAAATGAGCTTGCAGGCACGAGGCCCCGCGGCCCGGTCCCGGCCAGACCACGGTCCCGCCCAGCAGGGGGCGCCCGGCTCCCGCCGCGGCCTTGGTGGACGCCCAAGGCTGCCGAGCGCCGCGCTCGCTGGGAGCCGGGCCGCCCCGTCTCTAGTCCCACCACGTGAGATCGCGCGGCGCGGCGCTGCCGAGCGTCACATTGACGGCTCCTCGGAAAAGGGCCCGTCGCAGGGGCGGAGGCAGAAGCGCCTCCGAGCCGCCAGCTACCGAGACTCCGGCTCGGCCTTTGTCGCCGGACGGTCGCGAGCAGCGCAGCGCCGCCGGCCTCAGCGTCCCGTCCGTGAAATGGCCGCGTGCGCCAGGCCCGCGGGGCAGCCCGTCGCAGGGCGTCACAGCGGCCGCACCCTCCATTCTGCGTCAGGTGAAACCTGTACCGGGGGCGGCTTTCGCCCGAGGTTGAGACCTGTGTAGACGCTGACGCGGGCGTGTTCGGGTTACTTTAACTCGTCACCTTCGGAGGCCGTCCCTTAGCGGGGAGGCCACAGCTTCACTCCGCTTTAAGTTGCATTCGAGCCGGACGCTTTAGCACCCCAGGCCGCAACCCCGCCCGCGAAGGCCCGCGCCCGGGCGGCGGTTCCGGCCCCAGGCGCGAGGGCCGCGGCGGCAGAGGCCCCGCCCCCACGCGTCACCTCACCGCGCCGTTGCGCAGAGGCGTTTCCCGGGGCGTGTCGCGTTGCTAGGCGACCACGGCGCTCCCCCTCCCGCCCGGGCCTCTCCACTCACCCCCTCCCGGCCCGGACCAGTCGCGAGCCGAGCGCGCGGAGCTGCAGCGTCGGGCTGAGTCCCCAGGGAAGCGTCGTGGCCCCGGAGGGGGCCGTCCAGCGCAGGACCCTCCAACTGCCGCCCCTCCCCCTCGGGGGTCCCGAGCTCGCGGATGGGAGGCACGGCTCGCGGGCCAGGGAGGAAGGATGCGGGGCCGCCCGGGGCCGGGCTCCCGCCCCAGCAGCGGAGGTAACGGCGCCGCAGGGTAACGGGCTGGGTGGGGGCACCCGAGGGAGCGGCTGGCCCTAGCGGGCGGGGTGGGGTGGGGTGGGGTGGGGGTGGGAGGTGGGGGAGACCTGAGGCGGAGGGTGAGCGAACCCCCTGCGGGAGAGACGTGGGGAGAGTTCTGACCCCTCCGGGGGACCCGCCCACCCTCTTCCTCTCGGCCCCCAGCCCTGCAGCGTACCGGGAGCGGCGGCGGGGGCTAGAGCGGTGTTCAAGGGCAGAGGAATTTCCACCTTCGGGTTATCTCTGAAGCCCTAGATCCGGGGGTATTTGGTAAGGAACTCTGAGAAACTGAGACTTTTTTTTTTTTTTTAGCAAACTGGGAGAGAAAGGGAGCAGTACCTTTCAGAGAAGCCCTGTTGCTCAGAGCTGATAACGCGAGGGCTGAACTCTTGGGGCTTTGCCATGAGGGGGTGCGGTCTGGCCTGGGACGTGCTGGTGAGGGGCTCTGCTGAGGAGCGCGTTCTGCAGATCCTCTTTTTACCCTGCACCTTGCTTTGTATTTTACGCCTGAAAGGAGAGACGGGACCCCCCTCCTCTCAGCCGCTTCTCGCTTCTTTGCTGGGAGACTTCCTTTGGGTATTTCCTCAGCCTATTTATAGGAAATCTTGTAGGTCTTCAGCTTCTTTCTCCATGAGTGTGGGCGCCTGTCGCGTTTTGTTTGGTTTATTCATGCCGTTTGCAGAGTCAATCATATCCAGAATATTTGGTTCTCCTCGTTGAGACAGTTCCCTTTTAAGATAAAAATTATTCTGTCAGGATGTGAGCATGTTTAAAAAAAAATAAATAGCAAATGGAAGAATAGAATAGATAATTTAGTGGAAAAAAAGGATATTCCAAAAATATTTGTAAGTGGGTTTTTTTTGCACAGTATTCCTATAACACAATTTAGAAAATTCTACAACTAATTCTACAAAACAGTTTTTAAAGGTAACTAAAATATTCCACCATATTTTAAAAGATATAAGAAATTGTTTTCCCTGCAACCCTGTCATCATCCTATTCATAGTATATTCTGTGAAATGATACGAAGAAATGCTGGGGTATATAACTGGAAAACCCATGTTCTTGGTGGCAGATGAAATACATTATTCAGGGCCATCTTGTGGATTAAGTAAATCCTCTGTCTTTTGTGTTCCCTTCCATTGGTGGAGCTCAGTGTTAAAGAACAGAGAAATGATCTTTAATCATTTATCTTTTAGCTTCCACCATCTACCAGCAAGTGAAGTGGGTAAAGTGAAATTTAGTACATCTTGTAATTTAGAGAGTTCCTTTAGTGTTTGCTGTAGCCTTGACTGTATTTTTTTGTACATCTAAGTGAGGTAGATGTTAAGTAGGTAAGTAGTAAATTAAGAGGAAGACCCCCTAAGCAGGCCTTTTATTTCTTGCCTGTTAAGCCCTGAAGTGTGTAGGCTGAAACTATTCTTCCCACTATAATATGTGGAAAATAAGCTGAGAGAGGAAGGTAGTGCATTCATTGATAGAGCTGAGATTAGACTCCAAGTCTCTGACTTTGAAAATACTGTTATCTCTTTTTTCCTCTATTCTGGTTAATTTTTATGCTTCAGATTCAAATGAGCTTTTATTTTCAAGTAGCAAGTGAAGTGAAATCCTTTTGATCTTTTTAAACATTTGGGGAGTAAGACTTGTTTATTTCAAAATAAAAATATAGCATGTCCCAGCCTACATAAAAATATAAAATTATTTTTTAAAAAAATTTTTTTATTTATGCATACAAGAACTAGGATACAGGCCAGAGGTGGGGGGGGGGGAGGGATGAGAGGGGATTCACCAGAGACAGAGTGGGGAACAGAACAGGCAGATTGACTGAAAAATACACTGCTGAGGGGAGCAACAGGGGAGACAGGAGAGGTCTGCTGCACCTTGTGGGTAGTTCCCTGGCCTGAGATCTAACTCAAGCTGCAGAGGCTGCGGATAGCTTCACAGTGCTGTGTTTAACCCCTTGCGCCACCAGGCCCCTAAACTTATTTTTCAAAAAAAGAAAAATTGGATTTTCTCTATTCCTTTGCCAGATACCCCAATTGTTTGTAATCAGTGCCAAAATATTGTGTCATTCTTTGTAGCAGATATGAAGCAGTTAAGACTCAGGATGTTTTGAAAATTCAAATTTATATATTTCAGTTATTGACAGGCTTTGTATGTAATCTTTTAAACTAGATTGGGGGATGGTGTCTATGATACCTTCATGATGATAGATGAAACCAAATGCCCACCCTGTTCAAATGTACTCTGCAATCCTTCTGAGCCAGCTCTACCCAGAAGACTAAATGTAAGTATACTAAGTGATTCTTTGTGCTCTAATTGTCTTGGAAAGGAGGAAGTACTACCTAATACGAAGGGGAACTTACATCTCTCTGGCAACCCAGGCTTGTTTTGTTTCCGTTTGGTTTTTGGTGAATAACACTTACTGTGGTCAAATTTAACTTTTCAGAATGATTTGGCTTTGGAACCTGTTGGGATAAATATATGACCTTAGGAAAAAAACATGCTATTTTTATCTAGGCAATGTTTGATTTTTTTATAGAATTTTATGTGTGTATATATATATATATATATACACACACACACACATATATATACACACACAAAAGCTCCTTTTAACAAAAACAAGGTACAAAAGATACTGCTGAATTCTTAGATCTGCAGATTTCCTTCCTGCAAGATAGAAAAGCAGTCTGAGATTATTAGTATGCTAACAGGAACCATTTTTTAGGTCATAAATAAAACAAACAGTGCAGTTTGGTTTTTGATGAATTTAGTCATTTTGGAGACTACAAACATTTAGCTTTTGACATTGCTTTACTTAAGATAATAAAAAAATTAATTCATCTTCCCTCAGCATACATATGGAGAGCAAGATTTGGACAAATTTCATGGCAGATCCATGACAGGAGAAAACTGTTCTGTGACTATAAAATTTTCTGCATGTATCACCAAATGAATAAGTTAGATAGTTGAATAAACTAATTTGTAATATTTCTCCTTCACAATTCTGTGTTTAAAAGCTAAAATTCTGTCTGAAAAGAATTACTTGTATTTTTCATAGTCGTCAACTTTTTGTCAGATCTTGATATTTAAAGTCAGGCTTTTCCAAGGCTACTAATAATACAAAGTGAGGGTTAAATGTATTTGGAAGACTGAACATCCTATTTTTAAGCTCCTCTATGGTGTACAGTAGGTTTCTTTTCTATGCTCTGCAAGTTTGTTTCTTTAATATGTAAAAACCTCTAAACTCCAGTATCACATAGTCATTGTGTTGACCATCAGATTTCTTGGTTATTTGTTGCCAATTGGCAAGTCTCTGTTGGAAACTTTTTGTAGTTGGACTGGTGCATTAGCATGTGACTTAACATTCACTTTAACTTTAATCAAGAGTTGACCAATGCTAATTACTTTCCAGTAGGTCAATTACATTGTATGTTTCAGGATCAAAATGATTTTCTTACTGCATAGTATTCAGAGTAACAGTTTTTCAGAAACACAAAATTTTAGTTTCTAGTCCAGTTGTGTCTTTGCAAACTTTGCTGGAAAAAATGCTTTTTGACCTTGATGGCACTTTTAGTTCATTGTGGCATGACATCCTGAGACCCCACCGATCTCTTCACAGAGTCATCTTCATTGTTTATCCAGATACTCGTATATTCCCATTGTAAACAAGAAATCATCTGCTCACAGGCTTTTATTGGATTAAGCTTTATGTTGCAGATTTAGGATTAAGAGTTAGGGAAAGGGTGGTCTTTTATATTTGTATGAGAAGCATAGTCCTTTTCAGAAAAAGATCTTTAAGACTTGATTAACTCAGTAGACGGTTCTATTTGAAATGTCATCAAAAAGTCACTGAAATTAACACTGTATGTGAAGCATTCTCAAATAAAACCTGATATATCTGGTATTATTTTTCTCTATATAATTAAATAGTAAGCAAAATACTTCGATTGATTGTATACATTGTATGGTTATGATTATAACCTTAGACTAGGAATATATAGTGTTTTGTAACTATTATACTTTAACCTGTGTGAAAAATGTAGATTCTTCTAGAATAATGAAAGGAAGATTTCATTTATAGCACAGCAGACATGGTACATGATTGCTTCAGAACAGTATTTGAGTTATTTACAGGAGAGGAAGGAAAGCCAATGAGAGACACCCCCTCTGTGTGGGAGAAACTCAGAGATTCAAGCCTTGATAATCCCTGGTGTACTACATCTGAAGTGCCATGTTCTGTTTTGGGAGCCACACTTCAAGAGAGACATCTAGTGCAGTCTGTGCTGAGAATGTGAACAGGGTAGAAAGGAAACCTGACAGAAACCATGAACAGTTGACAATAAATGGGGACACGGAACCTAGAGAAAAATGGTGTGGGTAGGACAGTCCCTTTTAGGTATTTGAAGGGCTTTTACATGAAACTGGGACACTTCTGAATAGTTCTAGGGTAAAATATGATGTAATTTGCAGGGAGAGAAATTTAGTCTTACTTGAGGAAATATTATTAGTCAGAAAATCCAGATGAAATCCTTGTAAAAGTTATGTGGAAATTAAATTTCTGTTATATATCTGTTCTTATCAATTAATGTTCTGTACTGAGACCCTCTCTTTATCACAAACAGAAAAGAAGAGCCAGTGCAGCCTCACTATAGGCAGAGCAGGTAAAATATCCAGGGATGACCCTGGGCCACAAATACCTTTCCTACCAGCTTGTCATTGATGGCTGCAGTTCCTAAAGAGTGATTCCTTTGAGTTAAGGCGTTGATCTTCTGTTAAAGTTCAAATATCTCTGGAGAGGTAACACATTAAATGTATAGCAAGTTGAAAGCAGGTTGTATGTGGGGGAGAACGTGGGTGAGGTGTTTCTGGGCGTCCTAAGGGAAGGCCTGTTGTGGGGGCCTTTATGGAGCAGAAGGAATGTTCATTGTCAGCTGCCTGGTGGAGGTAGACTCTGAGATTAGGGAGGAAGGTGCCACAGAAGAGACAGGAGAGAGCAACTAAAAGGGGAAAGGAAGGGTGTGTAGGAGATTCAATTTTAATATATTAAGAATTTTGCCTCATTGTCACCAGTATTTTTTAAATGTTTTATAGATTGTGAAGGTCTGTCACATGTATTAATCATTATGATCTGATTCACACAACATATCCTGCAAGTAGATATTACTATCCACATTTGAGAGATGAGGAAACCAAGGCTAAGAAATTGAGCTGAGGTTAAGCAACCTGCCAGGGACCTACAGCTTTTAAACATTATAATCAGGACTCCACTCCAAGCTTTCTGACTTCGTATTTCTTCAGAAAGTGTCCCCAAGACAGTAAATACTTAGGTGCAGTAAAGGCAGTAGTAAAATGTAATGGGAAACTGACTGATATACATGCATGTGTTCATTTTGTTATGTAAATCTACCTAAAACCAAATAATTATAATTCCTTGTTTAGCCAAAAGTATCTCCTAATAGATTGTAGCTACTGGAGAATACCTGTTTTTAGCACTTATAATAGTGAACATTACTGTTCCCGTGAATGCTGGCTGCCTGGCTGGCTGACTAATACCTGTGTCTGTTTTTTTTCATCCCTAAATACAGGAATAGTTATTTGACTTCATCATTGATAAGAAAATGTCGCATTATATTTACATTTTAGCAAGGTATTTAGGGTCTGTCTGCAGGCTTATTTTACTATGTTGCCCCATTCTCTATTTTGGTATCAGAGGACTTATTCCTAGCCTGCATTTCTCTTCTTTATTTTAAAACTAAATGCCAAAGTGGCTGCAGTTGTACTGGCTGCTTAATTTTTGTTTAAGATTGTGTAATACCTCATTCTTGTAACTAGTACTCTATAATGTTTAAATTGATTAAATGACACTTAAGAAGAGCAAGTAGGAACTAATTTCTTGCTTTTATAACTAAATTAGGAGCTCTCAATTAAAAATATTAGCCTCTTTTTGTTGTTTATATTTTCATCTTTTATTTACTTGGTTAATAGGACGGGTGTTTGTAGGTTATATTATAATGTAATTTTCAAAGGTTAGATCACTTTGGATCTTCACCTTTTAATTTTTATCATATTCCTCTGGAACTATCTACCCACAACCATAGAGATTTTCTGTTAAACAGATCAGGGGTATATTTATTCCGGGTCTGTTAAGAAAAACAGATGGTCTTTGAAGTATCCCAGGAATTTTATTTACTTTTTTAAATAACGGAGTTAACATTTTTCTTATTTCCTTCTAGCCCCTTAAATATTTCTTAGTGTTAATTTGTTTATTTTTTGTTTTTAGTTTGGCGTTTTTCTTTTTCCTCCATCTTATTTCAGAGAATCTTGTTTCATTTCAGATGAATAAGAACTTCTTTCTGTGGGTGACTGTTCCTTGTAGGAAATGGTTAGGCAAAATCAAATAAAAAAGTATGCCTTTATTATACTTTGCCTGTTGTACGTAGGCTCTTGCTGAAAAGGAGTAGGTGTATATGTATTGAGAGAGCGAGAGAGAAAGAGAATTGGCCTAGATGATCCTGACACTTCTCTCTGACTTAGAACTTTTGTGGTTATGAACTGAGCTACAGGATGCAACAGTTTACATGGGCAGCTGAAAGTAAATGACAAGGCTTTGGCTGATTCCAGTTCATGGTCTGCATTCAGCCCTGCTGGACAGTAGCAACTCCAGGAGGGCCTGGTGCTGAACTCCGTTAATGTGACGGATCCTTCTGATAGTCAGAAGAGTTGGGTTAAAATCTTACCTGTGCTGGGCCTCCCCGGTGGCGCAGCGGTAGAGCGCTGGGTTGCGAAGCTGCCCGCAGCCTCTGCGGCGCCGGTTCGATTCCCGGCTGCTCCCCGGCCACCGGAGGAGGGTCCCACATGGTGCGCAGACCTCTCCTGCCACCCGCTGCTCCCCTCAGCAGTGTACTTCGGTCCTTCTGCCTGTTCTGCTCCCCGCTCTGGCTCTGGTGAATTCTCTCACCCTCCCGCGCTTCTGACTGTACCCAGTGCATGTATAAACAAAACAAATGAACAAACAAACAAATAAATAAATAAATAAAACATGCCTCTATAAAAAAAAAAAAAAAAAAAAAAAAATCTTACCTGTGCTCATTAATAGTACTTTATGATTTACAGAACATTTAAATATCCATTGTGTTTGATCCTGTTGCATGTACTTAAGATTTGGGGAAAATACTTGAAATAATTAGTAAGCAGTTTAACACTATATATATAGTCAGTTGCTAAATTATGTAGTACAGGCTGAAAAAGCTGCAGTTAATATGTGAGATTATTTCGTGTGGGCTTGGAGTAGTTTTATTTTTTTTAATTTTTTAATTTTTTAAATAAATTTTATTTTTATATTCCCCATACAATTGCAACTCCCTTATTTTGACCCCAATCCCTCCCCTCCCCGCCCCCCACCCCCCACAGAGTGTCTCTGGTTCATAGTTGTTCTTGGAGTAGTTTTAAATGGAGAAAAAGGACTTGAATTGGGCTTGAAAGTGTAGGAAGAAATACTATCTGAAGGAATATTTAGGGTCAAAAGACCATCCCACCTCAAACAAAGCAAGGCATGTATATGGGTTTGGGTGATTATAATATCCAGGGAGTCTGGGGTTAATCCAACTGAGATTTCTAAAGACTGCTGCTTTTCTTATCTCCCTTTTGGGGTCATTTTAACTGATACAATTAGACATGTTTTGTTGTTCAAGCAGGTAGATCTTTTCGTCTTTCCAATATTTTCTGTCACTTAATAAATATTCACTTTTCTATAGATCACCACTGAGCATTTCACAAGAGATCATACTCACCGCTTTCTGCATGAAGGTGAGATGAAGGTAGAAGAGCTGTTTCAAGAATTTGGCAACAGAAGATCTGATACTTTTCTGTCAGATGGCATCAACGATGCTGAAAAGTGCTCTCCTGCTGTTTCTCAGGGTAAAAGTTCAGATAGCTTGCCTACGGTAAAATCCAGCAGCTCATGCAAAGGCTCCAAAGTGGTGCCACTGACTCCAGAACAAGCACTGAAGCAGTATAAGCACCACCTCACTGCTTATGAGAAGCTTGAAATCATCAATTATCCAGAAATTTATTTCGTGGGTCCAAATGCCAAGAAAAGACATGGAGTTGTTGGTGGTCCCAATAATGGGGGGTATGATGATGCCGATGGGGCCTATATTCATGTACCTCGAGACCATCTAGCTTATCGCTATGAAGTATTGAAAATTATTGGCAAGGGGAGTTTTGGGCAGGTAGCCCGAGTATATGATCACAAACTCCGACAGTATGTGGCCCTGAAGATGGTGCGCAATGAGAAGCGCTTCCATCGCCAGGCAGCCGAGGAGATCCGGATTTTGGAGCATCTTAAAAAACAGGATAAAACTGGTAGCATGAACGTTATCCACATGCTAGAAAGTTTCACATTTCGGAACCATGTTTGCATGGCTTTTGAATTACTGAGCATAGATCTTTATGAGCTGATTAAGAAAAACAAGTTTCAGGGTTTTAGTGTCCAGCTGGTACGCAAGTTTGCTCAATCCATCTTGCAATCCTTGGATGCTCTCCACAAAAATAAGATCATTCACTGTGACCTGAAGCCAGAAAACATTCTCCTGAAACACCACGGGCGCAGTGCAACCAAGGTCATTGACTTTGGGTCTAGCTGTTTTGAGTACCAAAAGCTTTACACATATATCCAGTCTCGGTTCTACAGAGCTCCGGAGATCATCTTAGGAAGCCGCTATAGCACGCCAATTGACATATGGAGTTTTGGCTGTATCCTTGCAGAACTTTTAACAGGACAGCCTCTCTTCCCGGGAGAGGATGAAGGAGATCAGTTGGCCTGTATAATGGAGCTCCTAGGGATGCCACCACCAAAACTTCTCGAGCAATCCAAACGTGCCAAGTACTTTATTAATTCCAAGGGCCTACCTCGCTACTGTTCTGTGACGACTCAGGCAGATGGGAGGGTTGTGCTTGTGGGGGGTCGCTCACGTAGGGGTAAAAAGCGAGGTCCCCCGGGCAGCAAAGACTGGGTAACTGCCCTGAAAGGGTGTGATGACTACTTGTTTATAGAGTTTTTGAAAAAGTGTCTTCACTGGGACCCCTCTGCCCGCCTGACCCCAGCTCAAGCATTAAGACACCCTTGGATTAGCAAGTCTGCACCCAGGTCTCTCACCATTGACAAAGTGTCAGGGAAACGGCTGGTAAATCCTGCAAATGGTTTCCAGGGACTGGGTTCCAAGCTGCCTCCAGTTGTTGGAATAGCCAGTAAGCTTAAAGCTAACTTAATGTCAGAAACCAATGGTGGTATACCTCTGTGCAGTGTATTGCCAAAACTGATTAGCTAATGGACAGCAGTGTGCTCAGAGTTGCATACGTATGTATTTTTAATTATCTTGCAGACCTGAAGTGGGAAAAACTACAGGCTCATTGGTGGATATGTTTTTGTTAGACTAGACTTCTTTTTTAACAATGCAAAACATTTTTATATGAACGAAAGAACTCTTCAAGGGCTAATTACCTAAACAGCTTGTATTGGCCATCCTGGAATATACATTAAATGGCTTTTTATAGGTCAATGCATCTTTGTTGTTATCGTCAATATCCATCAGCTTATATGTATTATCCTGCTGGTTTGAATCCCTTTCTGTCAAGGTAGAAGGTATACTAAAAAGTATATCCTGACCCTTCCTTGCTTCTAGCCTCCTTCCCTATCTGTCCCAGAGGGGTAATGTGGGACGTGGCCAGGGTTACAGACAAGCACTAAAGTGAGATCTTTTGCATTAGCAGGCCATGCTGTATGCTTATTCTCGGAAAGAGCTCACAGCAGAATATGGGGTGGGGAAAGTCCAGGAGACTGTTGGTTGCCTGGAGAATTGGTGTCACTGCTCTTTAATGACTCATTTCTTGTCCCTTCAATTCTGTGATATGTAGAGTTTTCACTGTTATTTTTTAATGATTTTATTTTGCCTCTGATTATTTTATTTTGTGTTGTTATTATTTTGCCTCTGATTTGTTCCCTGGGTACTCAAAGCATTCTTCAAAACTCTTCCCACCTTACCAAGGTTTTAAAACTGAGTCGTATGCATCCCTTCCTCCCTCCTCTTCCATCTGTCTCCCATCTCTAAGGAAGATTTGCCCCAAATGACCCAGAATGTTTGGGATAGAATCAGTACACAAACTGTAGTTCCCTGGGGACCAGCTACTTGGTACATTTTCATGAACTTTTCCTTTAAAAGTGCCCACTGTCAAGTAAATCTTACTATGGTTTCAGTGTTTTCCCTTACCTGCTGTCACCTTAACATGCCACATTTCCCCCTCTTTCAATTTAAACCAAAGACTACCTTAAATTCTGAGTGAATGACACTTACAAGAAAATTGAGAAACATAATCCTTTTCATTTTCATTTTCATTCACTTAAAAAGCCTTTCTTTTTCTCTGCTACGATCAGTGAGAGCTGGTACTAAAACTAATTGCTAGCTAATGTCTCAGAAGGATGGAGAAGGAACAGTAAATAACTCACTGCTACTGTTTTCAGGTTTTTTTTCTTGTACTTCCGCTCTCCTCCAAAACAAAAGTGTGCCCCAAACTCCGAGCTCTGCTTTCCACACTGTTTTTAGGGTGATCCAGTTCCATTTCCATTCTAGAATGCAGACTGCAAGCTCCAAAAAGCTAAAAGAGGCTTCTTTCATTGGGCTTCACACTATCAGAAGAAAAATATCACAGGGTGTTATTTCAGGAACATTGGCTTTATCCCAGTGTGGTCCTGAGAGCCACAGCACCAGCCATGAAAAATGAGAACGAGTAAATGTCCTAAGTGGGCTTCAGCCTCGCAGGCAGAAAGGCCAAATGGCAGGGAGGAGTTGGGGCTGAGGCTGCAGCCACTTTCAAAGGGAGTGGTGTATTTGGTGACTGAGCAGTAGGACTGTTAAGACTAGTAGTTTCCTTTATTCCTGCTTTACAGAAGGTGACAGGATTGAAAGCTCCTTTAAAGGGTACCTAACTGCAGCTGCACTCTAACTTAGGGGAAGTTATTTAAGAATCTCCTGCATTATCTGGGTAAAGCATATGCTGAGGTGGTTTTGCCAGTTGTTATCAGTGTAGAAGACCTGCTCTGTTAGGCAAATAGTTAAAAGAACTGCTAGCCAAACACATCTGACAGGCACTGGATTTAAGTGTTTGTGTTTTTTGAGAGAGGTCTCCTTGGCCAACCAGCACTGTGGGTGACCCAAGAGAAAAAGGGAGGCTGAGATTGGTCTGTGCTGTTTCTCTGTGTATTAAATAGGCCGAGGTTCTGGAACCAGGCTGAGTGGCACGATATAGTCAACTAGTCACCTGTAGACAAATTCTAGAAAGCTCTGGGAAAGTGAATGGATGTGTTTCTGCCTAAATACAGTGAGTTGGAGAGTGACACAGAGCAGTCATCCAGGCTGGCATGCCTCTCTTCTGCCGGCCTGTTCGAGTTTGGGAGAGTGGGCTGCTTTACAACATGATGGTTGTGCCAGATGGACTTAGGGAGGTTGATGAGTGGGTTTGAAGTTTAGGAACAAATTGTAGATTTTAGAGACTGTCACTTTGTGCTCCATTATTCAGCCACTGTTAAATTTTTATGTGGATCCCTGCCCGACCATAGCAGTGAGGGACTGAACTGGATCAGTGATGGCAGTTTCTGTTACTGGAGTGTTTCTGAGCTGTTACTGTTCTGGTCCTTTCAATTAAACAGGTGAAGTTGGTGGTGAAGTTGGTTGACTTAACTCACTTTTTTTTTTTTAGAGATTTATTTATTTATACAAGCACTGGGTACAGTCAGAAGTGTGGGAGGGTAAGAGAATTCACCAGAGCCAGAGGGGAGAGCAGAGCAGGCAGACTGACAAAGTACACTGCTGAGGGGAGCAGCGGGTGGCAGGAGAGGTCTGCGCGCCATGTGGGACCCTCGCCGGCGGCTGGGGATCGAACCGGCGCTGCAAAGGCTGCAGGCAGCTTTGCAGCCCAGCACTCAACCGCTGCGCCACCAGGGAGGCCCTGACTTAACTCACTTTTAAGTTGAAAAACTGAACTGTCAAATTGCTATCGACAAGCAAAAAGAGTTGAGTAGGAATTTTTCATTCCCAAGGTCACTTTCTCCTTTCAACATGGGAAATGGCGAATCCACCTAATACTTGCCCATTTTAGAAGACTCTGTCCTACCGGCCCTCAGTGATTGATCTTTTCATTTATCAAGTGCCATCACCATTTCTTTTTATTTTTTTTAAGGTTTATTTATGCATACAAGAACTGGGGTGTAGGTAAGAGATGCAGGGGGATGGGAGGATTCACCAGAGACAGAGTGGGGAGCCGAAAAGGCAGATCTATTGAAATACACTGCTGAGGGGAGCAGTGGGTGAGAGAGGAGAGGCCACCTTCCTGGCCAGCTGGGGATCAAACTCCTGCTGCAGTGGCTGGCAATAGCTTGATAGTGCTGTGTCTTTAACCCCTGTGCCACCAGGGAGGCCCATTTCTTTCTGATTTAGAATGTAAACTTCAAGCAGGCAGGCCCATATCTCTAGGATGCTCAAAACTAACTGTGGTGCTACTAAGTGTGACGAAGGAGGCTATGTCCTCTCATGTGCCAGGAGGGTACTCGCCCTTTGTCTTTTAAGGTAATCTCGTGATCTGTGATCTTCCTGAAAAAGGATAATCAGATAAGGGTTATGGGAGACCACCTTTTTCTGATCCTGTGCTGGACACCTTGATAATAATGAAATAACCTAACTATGACATGAAAGACACTCTCTTCCCACAAGGGCTCTGGGAAAGAGAATTTAGCCTGAATCACTGTTATGGCTGTGGTAGAATGCTTCATTCCTAGGTGTTTTAAGGGGTTTGGAACAAACAGGTTAACTGGCTAATGTCATAACATTTAAGTTTTCATGACATTTAATCTGTTAAGAATGGGGCTTATTGTATGACCAAAATAGAGAACAAAAGATTAAATAAAAATATCAACTGTGAAACAGTTTGTATCCGTAGCAGCTGGTCATTTTCCTTAATTCCTAATTAGGCATAATTAAAATTAAATGTTAAATTCTGGGTAGCAGCAGATAAGTGGCTCCAAGTTTTCCTGACTAACAGATCTCTCCTACCACTTTAGTGAATCATAGAAAACTCTTTCTCATTGATTTTTAATTATTACTCTTGCATCTGTTATTTGATGTCATCAGCAAGGAAGTTGGAAAGGTGACAGTGATTGTTTCCAAGCTGCTTGTTACACTTTTGCCTTTGAGAATTAAGGATAAAGACTTCTCCTTTGAACCAGATGCAATTGTCAGAGACAGTTTTTCTCTGTCTCTTCAGCACCTGGCTAGAGATGACCAGCTGGCCGAACTTCCTAAGCATATTCACTCTTAGTAGCTGCAGCAGCCATGATAGGAACAAGTTGGAGCCATGTTGATAAGGAGACAGGCCAGGGATTGGCAAGTCAAGAAAGCTGTCTCTGCCAGGGATCAGCCTCCCACTGTTAAATAATTTATTTAATATCCTCATTTCAATGTGCTCCGCTTTTAACCTGTATGCCCTAAACTTAAAAGAATTTACTTCCAATTTTGTTTTGTAAATTAAAAGAACTTACTTCTAAACTTGGCCTTCAGTGAGCCATAATGTCATTAGGGGCAATCCTTTCCAAGGATCTGTCAAATTATGCCTGCTAATTTCAGCAAGAAAAGATTTTTGAGTCATTGTGAGCCCATCCAAGTAAGGACTAAACGTTCTCTGGTCCCTGAGATCCATAACCCCTGAGATAAGCCAGAGCTACAAATAGATTGTCTAGACTTTGAAGGAGATGATATGATTCTTTAAATAGCTTGCCAAGCCCTAAGTGAAGCCTAGACTCAACTCGTAATTTTCCTATAACAGAAGCCCGCCTTACTATTGACCAGAAAGTCTCACCTCTTCTGCCACTACAGAAACTAAAAAGAGGATCATCCCAAATCAGACCATCTGGTGACTTGTGCCTGTTTCAGCTCAAGAGGTCAGCCATCGGGTTTGAGTGACTTTGCTAACATGGGATTCCATCACTGTTCGTGTGAATCTGCCGCCACACTTCCTCTGGAAAGTGCAGTTAGCGTGGTTGAATCAGTGGTTTTTCATTTTGAGGTTTTTTTTTAATAAAGAGAACTGCTTTGAGAATTTTTCAGCATCTCATGATTGTTTCCAAACCAAATCCAAGAAATTTCCCACGGGTCCAGATGCTGCACTCTGCGGTGTTTGCTGGGATTCTGAGCTCCTAGGGCGCTGCCACAGCTCCTAGGGGCTGTCTCTTATTCGATGACCATTTCCCGGGAGTCCTAACTGTCTGCTCTCCTTCAGGAGCTATCACATTTACCCTCATGGGGCCCAAGCTTGAGGGTGAGCAGCTTCAAGGAATCACCTTATTGGGGAAGTTTTGGTGTTTTTCTCAGACCCAGACCTTTGTCCCTGGGGTAAATTTTAAAGTAAGAGCAGAGCAAATGGAAAGGGAAAGGATGTACTTAGAAGCCCTTGGGCAACTTAGCTCCTGCTTCTAATCTGGCTGGGAGCCATTACTACTCTGGCAACAGGAGCC